AGCCCCGGCCGCCCCCCCCGTCCCGTGACTCCCGCGGGCCCCCCGAGGACGCCAGCTGCCCCCATGACCCCTGCGCCCCCATGGCCGCCGCCGCGCCCCACCGGCCCCCCGCCCTCCTGCCCCTCCTGGCTCTGCTCCTGCCCCGACTCTGAGCCCCCCTCGGGGCGCCCGTGCCCCCCTTCTCCCCGGGGGAGGCCTCAAGAACTGCGGGGGACGGCCAGAGGAGGGGGGGGGCGCAGGATGCAGAAGGGGGTCCCCTCCCATCCTGAGCGGGAAAAACCCCCAACAGGAACCAAAAGGTGGGAAATTATTTATTAAAAATGGTCTTATTTTGGGAGAGCGGGGCCTGGCTGCTGTGGGTGGGCCACCGTCGATCCAGGTCACCGCCTGCTGCTGCTGCTGAAATATTGATGGCAGCGGCGGGTGGCGGGGCAGCGAGGCGTGCAGGGCGGCGCGGCGGGGACAGACGGACACCCCCCGCGGGGCGTGCGGCCACACGCAGCCCCGGCGCCACCGCGGGGCCGGTGACACGCAGGCTGCCGTGCCGCCGACACCCCGCACCCCTGGCAGAGCGCTGCCGGTGTCACGGGAGCCACCCCCGCGCCCTGCGCAGCCTGACCCACTTCCCGCAGCGCCGGCACACGGATGGAGCACACGCTGCCGGCACAGGGACAGCGCCCACCCCTGCCCTCCGCCCCTCCGGGAGTGTCACCCCCCGCTGCCCCTCGGCAGGTGTAACTCGCTGGGTGTCCATGCCCCCCGGGTCCCTTGTCCCCTCCAAGTGTCCCCAGGGGTGTGTGGGGTGTCTGTGTGTGTGTGTGCAGGCTGTCCCCACGTGGTGTCCCCCTGCCCGCGCCCCCGTGGTCCCTGGCTGTCCCCACGTGGTCTTTGCCCAGGCAGAGGTGTCCCGGGGTTGTCCCCACGCGGTCCCATCTGTGTATCCTCACACAGGGCCGGCTGTTCTGGGCGTGTCCCTGTGAGGATGTCCCCACGAGGGTGTCCCCGTGCCCTGCCCCTCGGGGGCTGTGTCCCTGTGCAGGGCCCCGCGGCTGTCCCCTCTGCTGACCCCCAGCACAGACAGACAGACAGACAGGGAGGGGCTGAGCCCCGTCCCACCCCACCGGGGATTACACGGGGCTCAGCCCAGCTCTGCCTAATCCGGGGGATTACATGGGCTGGGCCCAGACGGGGGGGGCACCCAGGGGTGCCCCCCACAAGGACACGGCACGTGGCAGCCGGGGACAACAAGGGGGGCTCCCAGCAGCACCCGCGGGCACCACGCACCCCAACACACGGCCACAGGGTGGGTTTGGGGGCGAGGGGAGCGCAGCAGGCGCCCCAGGTTTATTGGGGTGGTGGTGGGGGCTCAGGCGGTGCCGCTGCCCTGCTGCATGCGCTTGAGCAGCTCCTCGTCCTGCAGCGACAGCTCCGTCAGCTTCTTGCCCATCCGCTCGTGCACCTCCAGGTACTTGGCCACGCAGCGGTCCAGGCACACGCACTCCCCTTTGGACAGCTCCGACTCCTTGTAGTGCGGGGGGACGCACTTGCGGTGGCACGCCTGGGTCATCCCACCCCAACACCTCCTGCACCCCCATCATCACCGAGCGGGACCCCGGCCTCTGCACCCCAGCAAGCCCAGCATGCCCCGCCATCGCCACCCGGGCACCCCAGGGACCCCCCGCCGCCCCCGTCCTCAGGCACCTCCGGTTCCCCTCCCCAGTTCAAGGGCGTCTCCCAGGACCCCCGCACTCCCCCACAACCCCAGGGTCCCCCAGTGCCTCTGACACCCGCTAGTGCCCCCCAAGCCACGGACACCCCCCGGTACCCCAGGGCCCCAGGGCTCCCTCCCGGCGGGCCTCACCGGTTGTACATGTCGGCCATCATCTCAACCTCCAGTTCGGCCGCCAGCTGCTGAGCCCGCAGCGGATCCATGGCGGCCAGCACCGGCCCCGCTCGGTCCCGGTCCGGATCACGGTCCCTCTGCGCCCGACCCCGCTCGGATCCGCCCGGTTGGGCCCCGCGGTCCCGCTCGGTTCGGGACCCGGCGGCGGCTCCCTGCAGGAACCACGTGGGCGCCGCGCTTCCGCCCACCCGCGCAGCGGCCCCGCCCCGCCGCCGGCACCGACCAATCGCGTGCAGGAGGAGGAGGGACCAGGACTGCGATTCGGCCGCTGATTGGTCCCGCGGAAGGGGCGTGGCGGCGGCCGAGCGGCGGGAGGGAGCGGCGGAGCGCGCGCTCTGCCCGGCCTTTGCCCCGCAGGGGGCGGGGTCACGGGAGGGGGCGTGGTCAGCCCGGAGGGGGCGTGGCCATGGCCGGGACCTTACCGGGGCAGGGCCGGGGGGTTCGGCTCCCGCCTCTGTGTCCCCCGTTCCTGGTCTCCCTGGGTCCCCCCGCGTCCCGCCCGGGCTGTCCCCGTGTGACCTGTGTCCCCACGTGTGTGTCCCCCATTGTCCCCGGGAATCTGTTCTCTCTGTGTTCCCCACGCCCCCGGTGTCCCCGTTGTGTCCCCCGAGCACCCCCGCGTGTCCGTGTCCCCGTTGTGTCCCCCGAGCACCACCTTGTTCGTGTCCGTGTCCCCGCCTCGCCCGTGCGCCTGTGACCCCCAGGTCTCGCTGTCCTGCCCAGGGTGTCCCCCGTGCCCCTCGTGTCGCCCGGCACGGTTCGGTCCCGTCCCCGCGGGCTGCTTTGGGGTGTCGCCGCCGTCCGGGCGGGGCCGTGGCCGTGCTCCCCCTCGGCAGCCGTGCCCGGTGTCCGGGCCGGCCCCACGCGTGCCCCGCGGGTGGGCGGTGAGTGAAGGCGGCACCTGCCCCCGCCGGGTAAAAATAGCGCGGGGCGGGGGGGCCGGGGCGCGGCACGGGCGGCGGAGCGGCAGCAGCCGGAGCGTGCGGGCCGAGGGGCTCCGGGGGTAACGGGGACAGCGGGGGTAACGGCGGTAACGGGGCTGAGCGAGGCGGCGGAGGAACGGGAGCGGCCGGGAGCGTGCGGGCCGGGGGGCACCGGGGAGGAGCACCGGAGGGCAGCAGGGGACACCGGGAAGGGGTTATAGGAGAGCGGCCGTGGGAGCTGGAGGGCAGGGAGAAGACATGTGGGACCGGGAGGGGGACATGGCGGTGCCGGGATGGGGGCCGGGTGGTCGGGAGGGGGCAGGAGG